CCGTGCCGCTCTTCTTCCGCGTGGAGTCGGTCCACGTCGCCGTCCACGAGGCCGAGGCCGAGCCCGAGCTCGGCAACCTCGGGCCGAAGCGCCTCGCCCAGGTCGGCTCGCACCACCGCCTCCGCCACGGCGCCGGCGACGACGGCGACGAGTGGCTCCACTCGAGCGACTACTAAGATTGTGCTTTTTTAAGGGAGAGTCCAGTGGAGACTCCTCCTGGACCAGGTGGTTGCACTTCACCTTTCAGGTGATGTGCACAACTTTGCAATCGGCCAAGGTCTCCGAGTCGGCCCAGGCCTGCGCCTCCGCCGCGCGCATCAGCATCGCAGAGCTGCACCGCTGCAGCCGCGCGCCGCAACCAATGAGCGCGCAACTGTCGCGCGTGCTGCGGCGCGTCGGCGTCGGCCAGCTCACGGCGACGTCCGACCACGCGTCGAACCTCGCGGCGGCGTCGCAGCTGTGCCGGCAAGCCAAGAGCGCCGGCGCCTGCCTGCTCTGCCTGCCCGAGGCCTTCTCCTTCATCGGCGCGGCGGCCGCCGAGACCGTCGCCCAGGCGGAGCCGCTCGACGGCCCGCGGCTCGGAGCGTACCGCGCGCTCGCGCGCGAGCACGGCCTCTGGCTGAGTCTCGGGGGCTTCCACGAGGCCGGCGCGCCCGGCGGCCGCGTCTTCAACACGCACGTCGTGCTCGACGCCGCCGGCGCGACGCGCGCCGAGTACCGCAAGATCCACCTCTTCGACGTCGACGTGCCCGACGGGCCAGTGTTGATGGAGTCGCGGTCGACGGCGCCGGGCGCCGCGGCGTGCGTCGTCGTCGACGCGAGCGACGAGCTGGGCTTCACCTTCGGCCTCACGACCTGCTACGACCTGCGCTTCCCGGAGCTCTACGTCGCGCTCGCGCGGTCGAGCGGCTGCCACGCGATCCTCGTGCCGAGCGCGTTCACGCGGCCGACGGGCGCCGCGCACTGGCACCTGCTGCTCCGCGCGCGCGCCGTCGAGAGCCAGGCCTACGTCCTCGCCGCGGCGCAGAGCGGGACGCACAACGAGAAGCGCGCGTCCTACGGCGCGCGGGCCGCGTCCGCGGACCTCGTCTCGTACGGCGCCGCGCGAGGTCGTTCGCCGTCGCAGGCCACGCGCTGGCCGTCGACCCCTGGGGCGAGGTCGTCGGCGACTGCGGGCCCGACGCGTCGCCCGCGCTCGTCACCGTCGACATCGACCTCGACAAGATCGCCAAGATCCGCGCGAAGATGCCCATCCAGGCCCACCGCCGCGGCGACGTCCTCGGGCTCCTCCAGGCCGACGCCGCGTGAGGGCGTGCGCTTCTTTCTAAACTTGCGATGCTCGGGCCTGTGATGCGCCTCCCCTACGGCGTTCCGACGGCCCGCTTGAACAAATTCTTGATGTTGCAGTGCACTCTGGAAAGTGAAAAAGCGCTGGGAGGGCACTTGCGACCGTCGATGCCAGCCATATAAAAACAAACGACGGCAGCATGAGTCGCCTCCTCATCATACTCCTCACGCTCTCTTCAGCGCTCAAACGCGGCGGCCGCCCGCCGACGCAGCGGCGGCGCGCGCCCGCAAAGCAGCAGCAGGAGCCGCCCAGCCCCAAGCCCTGCGTCGTCGACGCGACGCCCGTGCCGGACACGTTGCCGCACATTCTCCACGCGGACGCGGACCTCGTCGTCGTCGACAAGCCCGCGGGCTGGACCCTCGACGCGACGCGCGCCTTCGCCGCGCCGGGCCTCGCCGGCCCCTCGGCCGCGGGCGCGACCGACGCCGACGGCAGCGGCGTCGCGTGCTTCGGGACCGCCGCCGCTCTGAAAAACGCCGCCTGCGCGCAGCGCGCCGTCGCCGTCGAGGCGCCGGGCGCGGCGCGCGGCGCCGGCGCCGACGAGTTCGTCCGGCGGCGCGCGCTCGGCACGGACGTGCGGAGCGGCGGCGCCGCCGCGGACCTGCGCGCGCGGCTCGCGGCGCGCGGCGCGCCCGTCAAGGGCGACGCCGTCCACGGCTGCGGCGTCGACCG